AAAAAAAAAAGACCAAAGTGATGAAGTTCGATGGTATACTGAACTCATTCGACTTTGCAGACATCATTTTGTTCAAACAAGAATATTCTGCCAGAAATCAAATTCACCAAAAGCATTATGAGAATTGTAAATGATTTGCTAGATAACCACTATCCCTCCTATTTTCATTCAAATAACAATGGCATGTGGCAAACGGACGCCAAATTACAGAATGATTGAGTAATGCCCTGCAGCAAAACTAACCAACTTCGCAACAAACTCAAACATTAACTAATACAAATAAACTGCAAGTCAAGCCATAAAATTGACAATTTACTAATAATTAAACAAAAAATAAAAAAAGCAAGCCAACGTGAAATCTAACAAACAAAACAGACACGTGATTTCACTGAAACAAATGTGTCGTTGCAGGGAAAGAAGTTCTAACTTGATAGTATCGTCCGTCAAGTTTCTTTATGCCATAACCCAAATGAACCTCTCCAAAGGACCTCATTCCAAAGGACCTCATTTTAGTTTTGCTCCATTTGCCAAACATATTAGCATAAAGCAGAGTGGAAAACAAATCCTATTATTGTAATAAAAAATAGCTTAAAATCCATCTCTACTCACCTGACCCTATGTTGATCCTAACTATTCCACTTTTGCAGCTGATGAACATAAGCACATTCATTTGTACATACTTTATTGACTTAAAATCAATCTCTACTCACCTGATCTTCATATCAAAAAGTAAAAAGATCTACTTTTCAATAGGCAGACTACACAGACACAAATTTGTTAGCAGTAATTGCTTAACAAAGACAAGCTCAACAGCAAAATTACACATAAAGCTCCAATTTTTCGGCCACCCATAGACAATAAAATATGAACCGGGCTAGAAGACGTTACCAGGTATATCTGCAACCCGGGGCTCCGTATAATGCCCGTTGTAGACTACCACGGCGTCGTACACCTCATCGTATCCACGTTTCTCATTCCCAATTTTCGATCTTACCGACCAATTCCGACCCTCCGCAAACCCCACATGGGACATCTCACTCCTAAACCTAACCACTTCACCGAGCCTAAACTCGTCAGAAAAATCTCTCAAATACTCCAAAACCTAACGTGACCCGGAAACCTCCTCAGATCTCTCCCGGGCTTCCCGCTTGCCACGAACGGGTAGGCCCGGAAACCCATGACCTCCCGGGGCAAGTTCGTCCGTAGCGAGGCGTAGAGGCTGGAGTGGATGACTTTTCAGGTCCGATCGAGTCCCATCGGGTCGGCCTCTGTTTCTATCGAGATGCTTCAATCCGGCGATCGTCGGAGGTGGAGCAGACGTAGGTGGATCCGAGGGCTGAATCGGCGAGAGGATCCTTCCGCTTTCGTAGGAGTAAGAGAGGAATAATCCGACGCAGGCGTCGGAGGCCGGCGACGGGGCGACGGGGCGGCGGGTGTGGGAGGGGTTTGGGATTGGGCCTGACTCAAGGTTTGGTTTGGAGGAAGGAGGAGATATTGATGTGGATGTTGATTTTTGGGAGATTAATTAAGGTTGTGATGATATATATTTTTGTGTTTGAAGGATTGTTATACAAATAATACAAATGTAAAGGTCTTTAAAATAAATATAATTATCATTTTATAAGTTATTTTAATATTTAATGACATAAGGGTATTATAGGTTTTTTGCCATGTACGAGGTGTACGAGCCATGTATGAGGCAATTCATGTACAAATTCTTTTCTGCCTCGTACATTGAATATGTGGTTGATATTCAATCTTGAATAAATCTAATGGTTAATAAATGGGGTATCTGATGTTATACACGTACGAGGGGTACCTGACCCTAGAAGATCCCAACTAAGAATCACCGTTCTTTCATCATATTGTGTTAAGGTATTTTTTCAATCACCAAAATCATTTTTTTTTTAATAATTTGCAATTTCCCTTTTACTTTTTGTTTTAAAAAAAATCTATACTTATATAAAGAGCCATCCTATTTACTAAAATTAATAGAAAAAAATAGGTCAGCATTTAATGTTGCTTATAAATAATAGTTTTATTTTATTTTTTATTTTTTATTTAAAAATCATATAATTTAATTTATAAATACGCTTTAATATAATCGTACAATTTAATCCTACAATTTAAGTTTCTTCTTTAAAATTATGCTTTAATATAATCATACAATTTAATCCTACAATTTAATTTTCTTCTTTAAAATACGCTTTAATATATATAGTACTTTTTGTAGAAATTTGAATACAATGTGTTACTTAAATATCTAAACAATTTAAAAATTCAAATGATTAAATTTAATGATAAACAATTTATAAATCTCTATTTTATTTAATTACGTAATTTATTTAAAATAATTTTTAATATAGCAAAATTTATTTGAAAAATCGTATCGACCCTACCAGTTCAAGGTGTTGACGGGTTCAATAGCAAATATTTTATTCAAGTGAACTAGACTGATTATAAACCTGTTCTCGGTCCACCCGGTCGGACTGTGTCTAACACGATTTAATTTAAAAATCTCGATTCATCCGGTCGGACTATGCCCAACACGGTTTAATTTAAAAATGATGGGTAAATCTTGATTAATTTATTTGTATATTTAATTTATAACACAATCATAATATTGTTTTCATGTGAATCGTACGGGCCACGTACTAGTGTTATTGATTAATTCATTCATCACGTATTACACTGGTCTAAAGTTTGAACTGTGTATTACTATTTAACTAGTATTCGACCTGTGCATTTGCACAGATATAAATAAATTATTGTGAGTCTGTATGCATATAGTGATTAATTATTTTTCTTTCACTTTTTTGCAGACCAAATTTACAATTAAAAGAGTTGGAATATTTTTTTTTTTTTAAATTGCGCTTATCTGATTGGATGTAATGTATACTTTGGTACGTCTTTTATTTGTGAATTATTTATTATTTATTTAGGAATTTCAAATATATTTTTTATTTTTTAAAAAAAAATTAAATGTAACAACAATAATAACATCTAATCACAATATACGGTCAACACATTATATGGTCAACTGTCATTAATGAAAAGTTTAAAATGATTTTTGTAATTTTGAAGTAATGAGTATTAATTATTTAATGATTAAATGAAAGATTAAATACATCAAAATGTAACGGTTTTTGGAGGAAAAATTGTTAAACTACCACATAGGTTTTATTAAATGCTCTTAGCTAGTAATTATATCTATACTTATATAATAAGGTATACCATTTACGAAATTTAGTAAGTTGAAAAGTCAATGCAATAAATGCATTACTATTTTGAGCAACATAATATAATATCATATCTATACTTATATAAAAGGAGATTCTATTTACTACATTTACTATCCAGAATAGTCAACTGATTATAATATTTTATTTATTTATTTAATTAATTTATTTATTTTATTTTAAAAAAGAAAGTATAATAAAAAGATTTTAGTAATAAAAAAATCAAATACCAAATAAAAATGTACACTTTGACTTATTTGATTATATTTGGTATTTGATTATACCAAATATATTCCTATTTAGTATATATATAAAATACTTACTAAAGTATTTATTTGTTTTATTTGTCAAAGTTAAGTATAGATTTGTTTATATTATCAAATCATAAAAAAATATTAAATTCATATTGTAAAAAAAAACATATAATTTTATAACAATTCTACTACACTATTTAACAATATTCCTTTTTTATTATATAATAAAATAATAATTAAATATTATATGGTGAACAACAATAAGTAAAACTGTTACTTTATCTTATATAAAGGGATAAATTTATATGCTAAAATTAAATTTTTATTAGTATAAATGTTTTAGTGAGATAATATAGTAATTATTTTACAAGCTAGCCCTAACATGCTCATATTTAATGTTTTAAAAGATGTAGAAAAAAACTTATAAGAACTCTATTTTTTTTAGACTTAAACGTTGATTAAAAGAGGTAAAAATTCATAATTTTTTAGACTTAAACGTTAATTAACACCATAGATTGAGAGTCTATACTTAGTAAAATTCCTAATTGTAATAAAAAAAAATTATTTTTTACTATATTTTAGAATATTTTTAAATTCATTATAAAAAAAGGAAAAAAACTACAATGAAAAAAGCAAGTCAGCTATATATCGATTTGTTGTACTCCTCAAATCACATTCACAATTTGGCTACAAGGAAAGGAAACTCATTGATTGAAATATTATTTTGTCAGTAGTCTTAATGTACAAGAGATTTTAAGACTCTACTTGAATATTATAAAACTTTTATGGAACATTGTACAATTTTCTTGCGTATTCAAACTTTTATGGAACATTGTACAATTTTCTTGCGTATTATAAACTTTTATTGAATATTGGATCTTATAATATAATATTCTCCAAATAAATATATCTCGTGCTTCGCGCGGGTCACGTACTATATAACATTTTTATTTATTCATGTATATAATTATAAGCCTGGATAAATAGCCTTAAAATTATGCACTGCGTGCATCGGGCTCTGTACTAGTATATATAGATACATAAAACAATTAAATGCTAATCTAATATGCAAAATCATGTAAATCGAATCAATACATGCAAGTCTCAAATTTCATTCCATCCAATAAAACAAAATATTAATAAGTAATTAATTAAATACTGATTAAAAATTCAAAAAAAAAAAATAAAAAATGATGGATTGCCGTAAAGCATCTTCAACCCGTGACCCGCCAAATTCGAGCATTTCAAAGCTTGCGCCAATCCAACCCGTGAGCTGTCCAATAACCCGACAAAGCTCTGCCCGGTCCCCGATTGCCCACCCTCAAGCACCACCTCATACATCGCAATAGCTCTGTGTAATGTTCGCTTCTTGAAGAGCAATCATCCAACCATTAAAATTGGCGTTAAAACTCCACGAACTATGTAACGCCGTCTTAGTTTGCGGTTTCGCTCGGCCGCTTTTCTTTAAATTTTTGGCTGCTCGCCGGCCGTTCGTCGCCGGCCATGGACCGCAGCCTGAAGCGTTTTCAGTTCCCCTTCCTCCTCCGTCCGCTTTAAATGTACTTCCCCTTTCTCTGTTCACTTTTCCGCAACCTTTTTTGTTTGATTTCTGGCCGCTGGGCCTTTGTCACCGCGCGCGACCGCAGCCGAGGCAGAGCTTGAAACCATAAATCAATGTGGGAAAAAGGTCCGACCCATTTCAAATTTCGTAAGTTTCTCTGTATTGCATACATGAATTTCGTGGCACGTGTGACCTTGACGATGAAATGCAAATTGGATTTTGAAATTTTCGGCGACTTTTTTTCGTGGCACGTGTGACCTTAGGAATTGGTTCTTGATGCATATACTATCTGATTGTGTGATGTTTAGGTGCAGCAATCTACTGTTTCAGTTAGTTAGGGGCTCAGCTAAATGTCTAGATTGTTTATGGTGAGAGTTTCGTGTGCCATACCGTTTTCCTGTATTTTCTCAAAAGGCTAAGATTATAACTTGCACATTGTTTTTATAGGACACCATGTTTGGAGCTCTCTCATTCTTATTCGCTTTGGTTTCTTTAATCCTTTCTTTCTCAAATGGCTGTGAAATTGATGAAGATAATATTTTCAATGTCATTGATTATGGAGCCACAAGTGATGGTTATACAGATAATTCAAAGGTAATTGAAAGATCTCATTCAGTAACTTCTTTATATACTTGTATTTCTTTATTTAATTCTACATGTTTTGAATGTCAATTCACTTGTCATGAAATATATATTTTCGTATATCACTCTAGGCATTTCTAGAAGCATGGGATGCAGCATGCAGCCCCTTAATTGATTCCCCATGAGTGTACGTTCCACCAGACGGGACATTTTTATTAAACCCCGTCACTTTTCAGGGCCCATGCAATGCACTCAGAATCAGTTTGGTGGTACATGATGTAATTTTATTTTTATTTTTATTTTTTTAAGTGTACTTATTTGGATTTTTTTGCTGATTTTGATTTTGTTATACAATCGAGATTTCGGGGGTGCTTGTTGCCCCAGATTCACCCAGCTTGTGGGATGGGATGGATGCAAGTCAGTGGTTAGGATTTACGGATATCAATGGACTCAGTCTTGATGGGTTCGGGTACATTGACGGGCAGGGCCAATCCTGGTGGGACCAGTCATGTAAATACCATCCTGAGTTGGTACATATTTCTATAGCTGGTTCTCCACATATTATTACACACATGCGTTATAATGAAATTTGGCCCTTGTATATATAACTAATGAGGTACAAAGATAAATAATGGATTGAATAGTGTGTGTGAATTGTGAAATCAATGTTCTTATTGCGGACTTCCTAACATTTTCTCCCTTTCTTTTTCCAGAGACATTGCACCAAAGTGGCTCCGACTGTAAGTACTAATATATTCGTACACTCTGCCTTTTGCTTTGGTTCGAGCTTTTTGTTCTAGGACAGCAGAAAGTATGAGATTGATATTAAGTATTGTATGGTGTGTAATCTTGATAATCAGGCGTTGAAGTTTCTGGGATGCAAAGAGAGCAGTGTTAGCAATTTAAACTTCATAAATAGTGCTCAGACGCACATACTCGTGAGGGGCTGCAAAACCTTCGCCATTCAAAATGTGATAATACGGTCGCCGGGGAATAGCCCAAACACTGATGGCATACATATTCAATCATCTCAACAAGTCATCATATCCAATTCTAGAATAAGCTGCGGTAAGTACTTTCTTCAGTTGATTGTATTGTTAAAAGTTTTTCATAGGCCCAAATTGGATATGTTGTCATATATTTGCTTTTTCGTTCAATTCTGTAGAATCTCCTGTGTATTGGCCAGTAATCGAACATCTAACCTGTCAGTTTCTTCATGTGCTTAGGAGATGATTGTATTTCCATTGGTGACCACATTTCTGATATTGAAATCAGCAGAGTTGAATGCGGACCTGGCCACGGTATTAGGTACTTAACCTATTCCCTACTTTTGCTTCTATTGTTTTTTTTCCTTTGGTCGGCATAATGCATTCTNATTGGATGCTTAGGGAACGACTTAAAACTATCGATGTTCTTTCGAATATTAATTATAGTTTCCTGACATTTTTAATTTATTCTTAAAAAATGACAAAAGCATTGGAAGCTTAGGAAAACGTGGAAATTACGTACAAGTGGAGAAGATTCACGTGGCTGATGCCTTCCTCAATGGAACCTCGAATGGAGCTCGAATCAAATCATGGCAGGTACCTCAGTATGATGCTTCATTGATGTTATTCTGATAAAATGTTTTAATAAATAACTGTAATACATTCATAGCAAGTAAAATTTGTGGGTGTGTTTTTTTTAATATGCTTGATATGGAAAAGGTCGGAAGAGGATATGTTCGAGACTTAACTTTCGAAAATATTAGATTCAACAACGTCAAGAATCCCCTAATCATCGATCAGAACTATTGCAACATCAGGGGCGCATGCAAGGAGCGAGTAAGATGTTAATCGCGCATTTATGTATAAAATTATCTCTCAACCAAAAAAACCAAGTTTCGAAATATATTCGAAGGGTAATGTATGATTCCTTTTGTTAACGATATATCTTTCATTTAGGAAACTGGAGTTCAAATAAGCAATGTGATATACAAAGACATAGTTGGGACATCCTCCACTGATATTGCTATTGACCTCAACTGCAGTAAGTCTGTAGCATGCTTTGGAATATCAATGGAGTCCGTATATTTATCGGCAGCAAAAATCGGGAAGAAGGTCACTGCATATTGTAATAATGCTTATGGTGAAGAGACTGATGTGGTTCCTGGTCCTTGTCTTATTGCTGAATAACATAATATATATAAAATCAGGGAGATGCTATGGTCCCGTTACGGAACCATTCCGTCGGAGTTTGTAACTGGTAGATCAACTATCCCAACGGTTACAAACCTCGACGGAATAGTTCCGTAACGAGATTGACACTTCCCATAAAATCATACAAATCTTGTACTTTGTTTGTTTACCTAACGATACATTAAAATTATATTTGCTAAATATGGAGAGACTTGGAGAAATTCACATCGATGGTGCTGGGAAACAAACTTGACCATATTGTTGTATGTCCAAATAATTTCAATTCGTTTAGTTTGTTGCATTGTTGCTGGAAATTGGTCTAAAAATGAGATTTTTTTTTTAACTGGAAATTGTTGATTATATTAGAATTTTGAATTTCTTGATATTATGTGCTTCACTCAAAGTCTCCATCCGGACCATCCCACAGAAAATGTCAAATGCCCATTGCAAGAAATTCTCGATTCTATCGTGATTGCGGACTCCTAAATAAAGAAAAGGATTACTAAAATCGGAATATGGTACAATCCCGTTACGGAATCATTCCATCGGGGTTTGTAACCGTTAGATCAACTATCTCTAACGGTTACATGATGATCTAACGGTTACAAGTCCAACAGAATCGTTCCCTAATGGGACCTTAGGGCATGCTTGTTTATGAAATAATTCATTTCCCACTCAAAATCTAACTCAACTTTAACTCAACCCCACTATCATTTATATTATTTATATAATTAAATATTATAAACCAATCATTCTTTTATATCACATCAACTTTAATTCACTATTCATCCACTTACATGATTTTAACTACCCATCATTTCCAATCATTTATATCCACTAACAATTAACCATACTACCTTTTTCAAAATTAACTCTAATTAACTAAAATAACTCATTTGTATGAAATATTTCATAAACAAGCATGCCCTTAGCATTTCCCTACTAGAAACATAAACTTGACTAAGTGTCTTTTTGTTTATAAATTTATCCAATTTATGTTCAATTTATATATAAAATTTAACTTAACTTTGACACAATTTTACTAAATTTAATATTATTAATATACTTAAATTATACCAAACAATTATTTTTATACAGCACGTCAATTTTAATTCACTAGTAATTTACTCGTATAATTTCAACTAATCATCACTTCACATCATTTTTCTTATACTTTTACATTAAATTAATTTTAATAATTTTATTTAAAATATTATTTTAATATAACCTCGAAATTTTTACTAACAACTAACTATAACATCTTTTTTTAAAATTACCTCTACTTAATTAAAAAAACTCATTTTGAGCTAATACATTTGTATGTAAGACACGATTGAATACAAAAATCACCAAAAGTGGATTTTTTTAGTTAATCAAGGTTAATTTAAAATATATAGTATGATTATTTGTTAGTGAAATTTTGAATTTATATTAAAATAATTAAAGTTGATCAGATGTAAAAACATGATAAAAATAATGTGATGGTTAATTAAAGTTATGTGACTTTATTAATGGTTGATTAAAGTTGTATAATGTGTAAGAATAATTGAGTTGTATTATTTTATTATATTGATAATAGTATACTTTTGAATTCAAATTAAATTAATTTTAAGTTACATTAATTTTCGAGTGAAAATTTTTACATTCTATCACCCATGATAATCGTTTTGAACGAGACAACATGTAAAGCCTCTCTTGTGAAAATCTCTTTGAACGATATGGGAATGGCACTCTCGTGATTTCCAACAGTAATCGCTGACATTAATGATATTTCTTCGCCTCAAACGGATCAACGCGTGCCTGTCCGCCATTAATAAACCTTTTCCTTCTTCATCCTCCTTCCTCCGGCTATTCAATTGAGATTGAAATTATCCTCTACTCTCTCAGCACACTGATCCGGTAACTAAACCCTAGTTTATCTGTACTCGGCCTTACATTTCAAGATTCCAAAAAAAATGGGGGATGTAGCGGATAAGTTGGCCTACTTTCAAGCCATCACGGGTATCGACGACGCAGATTTGTGCACAGAAATCCTCTCCGCCCACAATTGGGACCTCGAACTGGCTATCTCATCGATCACGTCCACCGGCGCCAACGGACCCTCCTCTTCCTCACCCTCGTCCGCCGCCACCGGCACCGGCACCGCTGCCCCTTCTCGGACGAATCAGGAGCCGGGAGACGTTGGCCTTGTCTTGGCCCCTAACGGCATCAACAATCAGCCCCCGGGTCTCGCTTGGAAAATAATCACCCTCCCTTTCTCCATCATCTCCGCTAGCCTAGGGTTGATTTCCGGCGCAATTGGGTTAGGCGTGTGGGCCGCGAGCGGCGTCCTGTCATATTCTCTGGGCATGGTTGGACTGAATGGCTCTTCACGGGTCGGGACGAGCCCTCTGGTGCAGGTGTCCCAGTCGGCCTCCGAGGCAATGGATTTTGTGTCGGGTTTCGAGAGGGATTATGAAAGGGTGAGGCCTAATTTCGTGGCCGAGGGTTTCATGGACGCATTGCAGAGGTCCCGGCACGAGTACAAGCTGCTTTTTGTGTACTTGCACTCACCCGAGCATCCGGATACCCCCCTTTTTTGCCAGGGGACTCTTTGCAATGAGATGCTGACAGCGTTCTTGAATGAGAATTTCGTAGCGTGGGGAGGGAGTGTGAAGGGTAGTGAAGGGTTCAAGATGAGTAATAGTCTGAAAGCTTCCAGGTTCCCATTCTGCGCTGTTGTTATGGCAGCAACCAACCAGAGGATCGCATTGCTGCAGCAGGTGAAATGCTAAAGTATATTTGTTGTTTTTCTTGTTATGCAGCGCTCGTTCTCATTTTAAGTAGTTGTTTAGGGCACTACTTTTGTTTTCTTTAATGTTTAAGGAGGATCAATAATGTTCCCACTTCCCCTCATCGGTGACTCGAACCCATGACCTATGACCGATAGGTGAACTGTCTTACCACTAAGTTGCACTTCGTTGTCTTTTTAGGGCACTACTTCGAGTGCAAGTTCTATGGTTTAAGATTTTTAGCAATTAAGATGTCCATATTGAGAAAATGGTCTGGAAATATGTTTTTGGATGCCAGAGTTGGCGAAATACATGTTTTTATTGAACAGATGCAAATTGAGCGGTAAATTTATGTGTTTTTTGCCTTGTGCTTATGACACTCATGCATAATTTAGACCTTGAGGTTTACCACAACATGGTTTGGAAAAGGTTCCAATTTCGTTTTATGGGTGTGGGGATGTAAGACTGTTATATGGCTTCTGCTCCCTCATACTATATACCGTCTTTCTTGGAAAAAATGCATCTCACTTTGGTATCCTATTGGAAGAAAGATACAGTTGGATTGAGGGGATATTTTTCAGTGAGAGTCTTTCTAAATCCTCTGATATGGACGGGCACTGCTCACTTTTTTCTCATTATTCCTAGTTCAGTAGGCAAACATACATGTTTGTTTGGACAGACTTCCTTCAGGTTTCTATTCTGTTGTTAAGGTTAAGGTTCTGACTGTAAGCTTATTGTCCTGATTGTGCTACTAAAGTCCAGACCGATTGTGACTGTATTGTGACATTGTACGTGAAATTTACTTATAGTTTTATAGTTTGGTATCGTGTTGTCTGTCAATTGCATTCTGTTCTCTGTTGACATTTGTACTTCTTCATGTCTGTATTCTTGTGTACTTTGATAATTTTTCATGAGGGAAAAAATATTCTTGATCTTTTTATACTTTTGCATTATTTTTTTCAAGTATGGAGAAACTGTGAATTATTTTTTTTATGAAGCTGTGTCTAATCAAATTATTAACGACGTACTGGTGTTCAATGTTTTTATTTTGTTGTTTTATTATAGTGTTTAATTTATGGTTATGAGGTTAACATTTTTTATTTATCTTTTATGAATTTGTGTAGCCATGGATGTGTTCGCAGCTGATAAAGATAAAGTTTTCATTTGTCTTGCCGAAAGTTTCGTGCTATCGTTTTGTATTGGTTTTATTGAACTGTGCATCTAGGAAAATGTTAGCTAAACATCAGTCCAGTAATTTGATTTATTTACTAGTTAGTGAAAGTCAATAACTCGATGCCAATCAGCTTTGGCGATATCTTTATGTTGGAGCTACTGAATAAAAAGGCTTAAAGGAAAGAGGACAAATATGAAGGACCTCTCAGACTTTCCAAATTCAGCTGCATCCTTACATCCTGGTGAGTGTGTTGTCCCCCAGCATAAGCTGGTGGTGGCGGATTTTCGATTCCGAACACGTGTCCACCGGAACAAATGTGCCAAGTCCGTGAGAACGAAGTGGTGGAAGCTTAAAGGGGAAAAGGCACAGACTTTTAGGGATAGGATGCTAGGTGAGGGGCCTTGGGAAGAAGGAGAAGATGCAGATGACATGTGGCTAAAGATGGCAACATGTGTACGGAAGGTGGCTGCAGAAGTACTTGGTGTGAGTAGGGGAGGCAAGCAGGAAGCGAAGGACTCTTAGGTGGTGGAATGACGAGGTGCAAAGGGCTATTCAAGAGAAGAAGGAGTGTTTCAAGCGCCTCCACCTTGACAAGAGTGCAACCAACACTGAGAACTATAAAATAGCGAGAAGGGCTGCAAAGCGTGCCGTGAGTGTAGCGAAGGGTCAGGCCTATGATGACCTTTATCAGCGCCTAGGCACGAAGGAGGGGGAGAAGGACATTTATTGGATGGCTAAGATTCGGGAGAGGAAGACAAGGGACATCAACCAAATCAAATGCATTAAGGATGGGTCGGATCGGCCACTGGTGAAGGATGGAGAGATCAAGGACAGATGGCGAGAGTACTTCGACAAATTGTTTAATGGGGAGAGTGAGGGTCCTACCTTGGAATTGGATGACTCACTTGAGGATACCAATAGATGCGTGGTGAGAAGAATTCGGGAGGCAGAGATCGGAGAGGCTATGAAGAGGATGAAGGGAGGTAGAGCAATGGGCCCTGATGGTATCACCATTGAGGTGTGGAGATGCTTGGGCGCCAGAGCGTTAGCATGGCTAACTAAACTTTTTAACCTTATTTTCCGATCAAACAAGATGCCTGATGAATGGAGGAGAAGTACTTTAGTACCGATCTTCAAGAACAAGGGAGATGTTCAGAGCTGTGGTAACTACCGTGGGATTAAGTTGATGAGTCATACGAAGCTCTGGGAGAGGGTTATCGAGCATCGCCTACGACGAGTGACGACTGTGACCCAAAACCAATTTGGGTTCATGCCTGGAAGGTCAACCATGGAGGCGATTTTCCTAATACGACAGTTGACGGAGAGATATAGGGACCAAAAGAAGGACTTGCACATGGTCTTTATCGACCTTGAGAAGGCTTATGACAGAGTACCGAAAAATGTCATGTGGTGGGCCTTAGAAAAGCATAACGTCCCATCTAAGTACATTACCCTCATCAAGGATATGTACAAGGATGCGATGACGTGTGTCCGAACATGTGGGGGCGACACCAGCGACTTCCCAATTAAAATAGGACTACACCAGGGGTCAGCATTGAGCCCTTATATATTTGCCTTGGTGATGGATGAGGTCACAAGGGACATACAAGGTGATATCCCTTGGTGTATGCTCTTTGCTGATGATGTGGTGCTAGTTGACGAGAGTAGAGCAGGGGTAAATAGGAAGTTGGAGCTGTGGAAGGATGCGTTAGAGTCGAAAGGCGTCAGACTTAGTAGGACGAAGACCGAGTACATGACGTGCGCTTTCAGCATGGCTTCACATGATGATGGTGACGTTACCCTTGACGGGCAAGTGGTGCCAAGAAGGAGACTTTCCGGTATTTGGGATCGATTCTACAAAAGGATGGCAGCATTGATGTTGATGTTAGGCATAAAATTGCAGCCGGTTGGTTGAAATGGCGCGGGCGTTCTCTGTGATAAGAGGGTGCCACAAAGGCTAAAAGGTAAGTTCTATAGGACGGCGATTCGCCCAGCGATGCTATACGGTGCTGAATGTTGGCCTACAAAAAGGCAACATGTCCAACAACTAAGTGTAACAAAGATGCGTATGTTGCGTTGGTTCTGCGGGCACACAAGAAGGGATAGAATTCGGAATGAGGATATTCGAGATAGGGTCGGGGTGGCTCCAATTGAGGAGAAACTGGTTTAACATCGGCTGAGGTGGTTCGGACATGTCCAACGGAGGCCTCCTGATGCACCGGTACGTTGGGGAGTTCTACAGCGGGTCGAGGATGTTAAGAGAGGTAGAGGTCGGCCTAAACTCACTTGAGAAGAGTCGGTTAAGAGAGACCTTAAAGATTGGAATATATCCAAGGATTTAGCGGTGGATAGGAGCGCTGACTTTTGCTTCTCTCTCTCTCTCTCTCTCTCTTCTGTTTATCTCTTCCTTTTGGTTCGAGTCTTTTTTGTGTTTCTCTTGGGTTTCATCTCTAGTCTACCCCGACTTGCTTGGGACTAAAGGCTATGTTGTTGTTGATATTGTAGCAGCGTTTCTGCTACATTTTGATGTTATTGTAATCATACTGTGATGGTTTTCTTTCAGGTCGAGGGACCAAAATCTCCTGAAGAGTTGTTAACAGTATTGCAGAGAGTGCTCGAGGAAAGTGCTCCTGTTCTTGTTTCAGCAAGGGTTGAAGCTGAAGAGAGAAGGAACAATATGCGCCTGAGGGAGGAACAGGATGCTGCCTATCGAGCAGCACTCGAGGCTGATCAAGTATGCAATTGATATTAATTAGATTAATTTATTTTTTTCATTCATCTTATTGTTGTTCATCCTGTCGTATATAGGCTAGGGAGCGGCAAAGGAAGGAAGAGATGGAAAGATTGGAGCGTGAAGCTGCTGAAGCTGAGAGGAAAAGGAAAGAAGAGGAAGAGGCTCGTGAACGTGCTGCTAGAGAGGCTGCTGAGAGAGAAGCTGCTTTGGCTAAGATGCGTGAGGAGAAAGCGCAATCACTTGGTACCGAGCCTGAGAAAGGGCCTGATGTTACTCAAGTAAGTGCAAACTTCCTAATTAAATTAATTTTTTTGGGTGTTAGTGGTATCGAATCCCAAGGTTATTTTGCCTCTAAATTATGTGTTACCTCGATAGTTAGGTAAGGATGAAACTGGAGGTTCTTTATGTGTAAATAGTCTTCATTGTGAAAGCAGATAAGATTCTTGGTCACATGCATTCTGTTTGATTCCAGTTTTTCAGCAAGGGGGAAAATAGAAAGATTGTGGAAGAATCATCTTCCACTTGTTGGGCTTTTCAGTTTATACAAAAATTGTTGTTACACATAGAGTTCTGTGAGTGTGCATATTTGGTTTTGTTAGGAAGCTAAAATCCGATTAAATTCAATGAGAAACTTATATGCATGAACTTGAGAATTCATTGTTTGATGTATTAATGCAATTTGTTAATAATAGTGTCTGGGTAAAGATTTGAGAAGGGCGTTATCTTGATGATTCGTCCTTGTAATATATGGATTTTGAGCTCAAAAACTCCGTTGAAGTTTATGCTTAAGTGATGCATAAAATGGATGTTGTTTGAGATAACACCTTAGGATCTATATGGAACTGGCGGAAGATTGCGCTCATAACAATATCATTTCATCATCTAACTAATATATATTTAATAGATGCCAGCTATTGGCGGATATGACGGACTGTCTCTGAAGAGATTAGTTTGAATAAGAATGCTTTGTCTTGCGACGTTTTTTAGAAAAACTCCCACTGAGAGTGAAAACAAGTAGTGGATCAAACCTTCCTCTAATCCAAATTAGAAATCTTTTAAAATTTTAAGCTCTATATGTATTCTGTAATCTGTAGTGCTTTAAAATCCACACATCTTCACACCTAGAATTTGAAATAAAGAAAATGTTATGTGCTTTGTATATCGCTAATGATTTTCGGTGTTTCAGGTATTGGTTCGCTTCCCGTCTGGACTGCGCAAAGAGAGAAGGTTTCATTGCACTGCAAAAATTCAATCTTTGTATGACTATGTGGACTCATTAGGTTGCTTGGATGTGAATAACTACAGCCTCGTTTCCAATTTTCCCCGCACTCTGTATGGTCAAGACAAGCTTTCTTTGTCCCTCAAGGAAGCTGGATTACATCCTCAGGCCAGCCTTTTTGTGGAGTCGAACTAGCTGCTGAAACTTTGTTGTAGGGAAAATTTCTTATATTTACTTTTACCGCATTGAGAGTGTTGGCATCTTTTGCAAGTCTTAACTAGAAAATGACAATGGAAGGGATGGGAGTGAATTGAATAAGTCTTGGGTTTTGCAAGGCTGATGCTAATCTGCAGGTCAGCGTAGGTTAGGAAGGGTTGTGTTGAGTTTTTACTGTTTCAATATAAAGGTCTGCATCTAAGATGGTTGATGCTTGGATTTAGGTACTAATGCTTGATGTTTGCATAATTATATTGTTACTAGTACAACGCCCATGTATTATACGGGTGCTTGTTAATTTTTTTTTAAAATTTAAAATTATGAAAAACAGTAGTTGAAAATTTAAATATTTTTTTATAAATATATATATATATGAAATTTTAGTATGACACTTGTTACTTTTGTGACTTACATGTGTTATAGTATAATAGTATGACACTTGTTACTTGTGCGGCTTACATGTGTTATATTATAATAACTAGTTTTTAACCCGTGCATTTGCACGGAAAACAATAATATAGAACAAAAAATAGTAAAAATATATCAACAATAGTAAAAATCATAATATAATCATTGAAAATTTAAAACGTTTGTGGTTTTTCTATCAACAGAATTTTCATCACTACAAATCATATCTTCAAATTAAGACATATAATGGTTTTAATTGTTTAACTAATTATTGTATTTTGTACTATAGATCATATAGGAAATCTAAAAAAAAATACTAAAAAAATACCAGCAAAATATTACAAAATAAATAATTGTATTTGGTTGATAAATAATGATATGTGCCAAATATTTAAGACATTTAAACAAAATGGCAATTTTTGGGCCATAAAGAAATATATTAATTGAATGATAAAAAAAAGCCCAAATTAGAAGTCCACTTAATTTTTTAAGGTAACAAAAATCAAATATAAAACAGGTCAATGATAACATGACTATAAATAGAGATAAACTACTTGAGAGTGATGTAAGCCATTTTTTTTTTTTTTTGTTTGATGTCGGCGCTTCTCTCGTTATTCACTCTGTCTGAAACCCTAATCCTTAACCCGATCTTACGACAAACTCGGCGAGATTCAATACAAAACAACTGTTTTACCGGAGATTTTCTCCTGGTAAAGGCTTAAAAAATTAAAAAAAAAAAGACATCCGAGAAATGTTGTTTTTGTGACCAACAGTAGGTGATCGAAAAATAAAATATTCGTCCGATTTCTTAATCTGTGTTGCAAAATCTTAACATGTCGGTCAAAATCGAGCGATAATATTACAAATCTATGACGAGCTAAAATATTTTTTGTTAAACGTAGTTTTTATTTTTTATTATTTTCAATGATCTGTGTCGTTTTTCGAAATTCTTTGTGAATAAGCTTCAAGATATATCATATTTTATACATAATTCGAATTATTTAGATGTTTTTCAAAATCGTTTTCGAAGAGAACATGACATTGGTCGAACTTTTTCAAACTTTTATGTATTTTGTTCAGGGTTTGAAAAAATATGTAAGTTTCTAACAGATCTGTTCAGCTCTACTAACAAATATATAGGTAAGTTTATAACATATCTGTTCATATCTGTTTATAACATACATATGTAACTTTTATGTATTTTGTTCAGATTTTGAAAACTAAATAGTTCAATTCTTTGTCGTCTTTCTCATCATATCAGTAAGTGAAGCTTTGCTAACACTTGTTCAAAATCGCTTTTCGAAGTTGTTCAAAGTCTTTTGCCGAAGTTTTTCAAAATTTTTAGTATTTTGTTCAAAATTTGGAAATATTAGGTAAGTTTATAACAAATCTGTTTAGATATATTTATCACATATTAGGAATTTCTTGTTTAATGTTTAAAAGAATCTGTAGGAATTTTTATTTTTAAAACTTTTACGCAAAAAAATCGATTTTAATATAAAGGCAGATGTCTTGGTAAAAGTTGAATGTGTTGATAATGATAGGGAAATCAAATTATTTTTCTTTCTATATTGTATAGTGGTCAAAATGTTCCACATAATTTGCTATGTTTTTAATTTTGATTTTTTCATATAGATTTGACTTTTTTTGTTGATCATTAATTATGCTTGATATTTCTATATTATGCAATAAACTGCCATTACATACAATGCCTTGTCAATTCTCATTCTTTGACTTTGCCAATTTCCGTTTAATATGACTTTTCTGTTGCTGAAAGTATATTTTTAATGCATTAAAATATTGATGTTTTGGATATGTTTTGATGCTATAATCATGCAGAAATTTGTCCCACCGCTTTTTTCTTAAAGAGGAATTGCTTAATGAAAATTAATCATATTTATATTTATAATTGTGAAATAATATTTTTCTTCACGGCCAACAGTTATTTTTTTTAATGAAAAATATGAGACAATTTAATCAACACACTTTTGAAATTATAAAAAAAGAATGTTGATTGCGATAATCAAATATGCAGAAATCATGCATTTTATTGAATAGTAGTAATATAAAATATTTTATTATTACTACCAAATAGAAAGTCAAACATAGTTAATTTTGCACTATTAATTATGATCATATGGATTTTTTTTATACATATGTTTTTTCAATGAACTTTTTAAATGATAATATTGACAATATAGACTTTGCTATAATAATTATATAGATTGTGTTATAATAATAATTTATTTATTTAATTCATTAATTTTTTAATTCATCTTATTATGCGTATAGTCTAAGTTTATAAATTATATGTCATTTAAATGTATCTATACTACTAATTTATAAGGTTTTACCTTTTGGGGAGCTAAATTTTTAATTTTAATTATGAAACTAATCTTTCTTATCATTTTGTAGTTATATGTTTGATTGAGTATGGCTGGAAATTAAATTAAAAAAAAAATCATTTTTTATATTGTAATGTAACATGATATGTATTATAATGTTTGTAATTAATACATTTATTAATATTTCTTATAACTTTAATTGCTTAATAATGAAATAAAAAATAATAATATATAGTTTCTGCATAACAATAATGACTGTCACGTTTATATATATAAATGAGCATAAGAAACATAAATGTGGGATTAATTAAAAGAAACTTTTTTAATTTAGTCATTAACTAATTAAGTTTAACTAAAAGAAACCTTCTTAAATGTGAGATTAATGAGTAACTAATTAAAAAAATGTAACTTCTTTTGGAGGGAAAATAAAAATGTTTTTATTAAATGTTTTATTAAATGGGGTTAGCTAGCAATTATATATATATAGATTTTTCTAACTTATAACATATAACTGTGTTATACATGAATATATTAATTGAGAAATAATTTTATTTTTTAATGATTTTAATAAATATTTTTTTATTATTGTAAAGATAAATAAAATTTATTTGTTTTATATATACAATATGGATGTCAAATCGAAGTTCATAAAAATATGATTAATTTGATATATTATATATGTAAAACCGATAAGAAATACAAAAGTTATCAACTTTTAAAATACATTTAAAATTCAATAGTTATAATAGGAAAGGATATTAAAATACAATTAATACATGTAAAATGGTCATAAATAAATCAACATATTTATGGTAATCCGAACCTAATTAGTTTTGAATTGGAATTAAATTAAAATCTATGCAAGCCAAATAATAAAGCATGAAATTTTGACACAGAGGATTCCGAAGCATGCGAGCCTGCTACTTAAACTCAGCACATTCGGGAATTATATATAGGTGAGATGAGATTTATTCAATGTGTATGTGTTACATGATTGTGAATAGATTCAAAAATTAATATTGGTGATATGAATGGACCGACGGACTTAAGTTAAAATTTAACTCATTTAAAATGAAAATAAAATTATTTTTTATTTAAGTTAATATTCATTTTACTCACTTTCTCAATTAAAAACAAACATTATTATTATATATTTTTATATATTAAAAATACTATTCATTTGCTCATATATTTCTAGTCATGGACACGGTTTGGAACCGGCATGTGGTTAATGGTTTTTGAACAGGACCGGACTGTTGACGTGAAGTGGAACCGTGTTTGGTCCTGGGCTGGTCCGGGGCCCGGTATGGCGGTTTGGCGCCGAAAACAATAAATATAAAATTTTAATTTTTTTTCTCTCATTGGGCTCGGAACTAGAAACAACTGGTTGGACTCATTCAACCGTCAGATTTTTAAAATCGACAGTTAGATCTTGCTACCGTTGGAGATTCAACGGCGTAGATTAAACTGAATCGATTGAATCATCGGTTCTACCTGAACAGGTGGTTCACCATATTTTTTTTAGATTGTTTTCCTATAAATACCCTCTCTCACCTCTTATTTTTACACCAAATTACCATTATCTTCTTCTATAATCTCTTCAATAGTATCATTCTGTAACTCTGAAGTCTCTTTCTCTCATTTTTTTACATTTTATACTTGTTATTAGCTTAACTCTTTATAATTTACAAAATTGTTGAATTCCCATCCGTGTGGCCATCCGTGTGGACGCCGCTAGTGCATACGGACATCCTAGGCGTCCATGATGAATTATCTCCCGAGGAGGCCAAACACTTAATATAAACTATAGAAGATATCCCCTAGGGCTTCTAGTTCCCTAAAACTCTGCCTACTCAAGGTCAACCGGAGGCCAGGGCTTCCAATCGACATTTGATAGTTGATAAATTTACAAGACGCTTTAAGAAGGAGTCCGATGAGAGTAAGGGTGGAAAGTATTTTATATGTATTTGCAATCACTGTCCGCTGAACAACAAGAAGAGGTACGGTTTCATAATTAGTAATGAGCACAGAACCATGCAACGACACATATAGACCTATCATCCTGCCGAAAATGGACATTGATTCGAGCCACACTCAATTCCCAAGAAGTAGAACTGCATCTGGGACATAATCTGTCGATACACGTTCTTTTTCTTTATTTCAGTTTTCTGATGCAAATTATAGACGTCAGCTAGCTGAATTTGTTTCAACTTCATCTCTTTGTTTTGGTTTTGGTAATTCCGATTTATATTAATTTTGTCTCAAATGGCCTTAAACCTAGTTGTGATGTCACGATATTCGAAACATAATGGGTGAGAAAAATAATGATTTTGACACAAACCTTTGAAAATTTAAATAAAAAAGTTTCTATTTGTTGTGATATTTTGTGCGATCATTGGCAAGATAATTATTATATGATAATTACTTGTCATTTAATAGATAGTAATTTTGCATTAGAAAAACGTTTAACTTACATGGGATTTAATACCTCACAATGCTCATGATATCGCTCCTTTGTGTGTTGAATACTTAACAAACTGGTCAAAAAAAATTCATTTCTTTTGATGATGCTAGTTTTATTGCTTCTTTGCCTGAGCTTGTGCAAATTTGTCATCCTCTTTGTGGTGGTAAATATTTTCATATTCGATATATGTTTCACATCCTTAACATTTGTGTTCAGTCGGGTCCTAATGCTTTAAAAGAGTAGGTCGCGCCCATTAGGGAGATCGTTATGTACTTGCATTGTTGTCCTCAAGAAATGAAAAATGGGGAAGACATTGTAGAAGTTTTGATGTTACAACCAAAAAAATTCAACTGGACGATTCTACCTAGTGTAATTCAATGTACAAATTGTTAAAAAAAAAAAAAAACATTTGAATTTCCCGCTCATTCAGAGAATTTTTTTTTTTATTTTTTGTAAATATGAGTGTCGTGGCTGCAATATCACTCATGATTCGAAGAATTGGACCAAGATTAATACCCTTATAAGCTTTTGGGGAACATTTAAAAATGTTACTGACATTCTTTCTGGTGTTTACTATCCTTTTGTTCAACTTGTCGATGTTCAATGTGTAGCCGTAATATGAGAATTTAAATATTTATTTGTTAGTGATCCTGAACAACATTGTGACCATGTAAATGATATGTTGCGAAAATGATGAAAATATTATTTTTATATTCCCTACACATTTTTAATTGCGAATTTGTTAAATTCGTCTATACACGAAACTAACTTTTCAACCAAGTGCATATTTATTATAAACTTATGTATCAACTTCCACTTCTCGATGATGTTAATCTTGTAGTTGAACGTCCTAAACCACGGCTGCTCGTCGAGCAAGCAGAATATTTATTGTATAACTTGTTTAAGGAAACAACACTCCAACGTCGTCATCATCTTCTTCTTCTACTAAACAAACGATAGAGTATTACCAAAGATTGGGCTTCATCATTCAATAAATAATGGGACTAAATGTATGAACTCGTATACTTCTTCACCTTGGATCTCAAATTTATGGTGGCCAAACTACCTACAACACCACACCCATTCGATATGTTGGATTGATGGTCAAATAAGAAAATCACGTATCATGTTCCATGCTTGATTGCCAAATAGATGTCTCAACTTTCGTGGTTGAAGAAGCGTTTAGAGAGGAAGGGTACTATACTCTGGATGCATGACGGTCGAGGTTAACGCCACAAAACTTACTAACTTAGAAGTATAAGTGTTGTTGAGAGATTGAAAGAAGACTGAAAGAAGGGCACAAACGGTCATGATAACTGAAGAGAATGGTGAACAACCGGATAATTTTAGTACCAGTACCACTACTGGAACTGGTGGAACCAAAAATGACTATGACTAGAACGTTAAATGCATCATGTCATCTTCTTTCATTAAGATAAGATAAGCAGACTATGAGGACTTTGAATTTTTTTTTTTTTTTTAAACTTCAAAGAGGATCAATAGTGATTCTCCACTTACCCTTTGTATGACTCGAAATCGACACTTATTGGTCCCAAGTGAAGACGACGTATACAACTTAATCAATATATTATGAGTTAATCATTTTTAACTGTTTTAGCTTATAATATTTCAATTTCGCCCAAACTCATTTCTTTTATTCCCCCGACCCACCGAGCCGGTTTTGACCCAAGGCTGCCCACTCACTGAACCGGTCCAGTGATAATCCTAAGCAGGTTCCAATTCAACCAAAAATTAAACCATGAAACTCAAAATCAAAACCGACCCAAACCGACTTTTGGCCATCTGTGGGTATTTCACAATACCAATTTTATCAATTGATATATATTATTTTTTTTTACTTTTGTACAACACCAAAATAATCATTATATTTTTATAAAACATATCTAATAATCTAAATTAATCTCATTTTTTCTTAAAAAAAATACTACTGCTTTTCATGTCGATTTTTCGAACAATATAATTTTTTTTGAGAAAATCTTATAGCCAATATTATGGGCAGTGCGCACAGTCGGGATTTCGTTAGTACAGAGAGACAGAAACTTGTTGATGAACCATCTATGTAATTTAGTTAGCAGGGACAATTCTCAACTTTGGCAGTATACATATAAGTACTCTGAGGATTGAGTTAACAAATATCTTAGATTCTTAATGATCGTTCGAAACTTCAAAAGTTAAACCATGTCTGAGGCATCATCTTCTCCTTCAGACCACTGCGACCCGGCTCTAAACTTGCAAACCGGGCACGTTCCTTGTTGCCGTAGCCAAGGATCTATGCAATTCACATGAAACTGAAATACATGTCGTGAAAGAGGATGAGATAGTGAAGCTACAAGTGGAACATGATTTGACAATGAACGCAAATAAAGCAATCAAAAAACATGCGGACATAATTACAAGATCACTACTAGTTGGCCGAACTGTGAAATTAAGATAATGAGTGATAGATATATGTGAGCGGATGATTAACAAGTTTATAAGGAAAAGTGTAGTAATGATTTGAGTGTACTGAATAAAATTGAAGTGGGAAAGAGTGATATGAGTGAATAATGTGCTTTAACGAGATGAAGTGAAACCTGATGCAAGCATGGCAGGCTACGAATGAGTTCTCCAGCATTAACTTGCTCCAAGCAAACACTACAAGTCAATTCGTCATCAGAAGATTTCAATCCGGCTTGTGCATTTGTAAGGTCTTGCTTCTTCTGCAATAAGAAAATGTTCATCAATTATTAGAGGTGGACATGGAATGTGGAAAAAGAGGTGGACATGGAATGTGGAAAATGAGGGAGGCAATAATTTTAGTAGGGTCAATAATTTCAAAATGAGGGAGGCAAAACGAGAGTGTATAGCCTTCCTCTCATCCAACAAAAACCAAAAATTATATATACATATACAGGCACACAGAAGCGTCTTAAATTTTACCATTGCCACTATTTTCAGGAAAATGAGTACACACCACAAGGGAATGTACGAGGACACATCACTCTATAAAATTGAAGGTCCATCAGAGGATTATGGGAGTTAACATAACCTACAACATTCTCTTTTATATCAATTAATATAACAATTCCAACTACAGAAAACCATACAAATATTTAAGTGGATAGCATATCCCACCAGCAAAGGTCAGAAAATATGTCATCTGGAGCACTATACTGCTAGTGCTAGCCCATTGCTACGACAGTATTCAGAGAATACACACATACCATTTCAATATTCAAAAGTCGGGCCAAACATTAAGAAAACATAAATAATATAAATTAGAAAACAGAAATCGAAATTACTGAAACAAATTTGATCTAGATTTAACATATAAAGAAAGACAATAGTACCTCAGCTGATAATGAAGAAGAAGACTGCTGCACTGATGAGCTGCCATCCAAGAGAATATAATAACTTTAGAAAGAGGAATAAACTCTTTTGTGAAACCAAACTGCAGCTAAAACTCGCAAATGTGATCTATTTATCAATCTCACAACACATAAGCAATTGGCAAGCATTTTTTCTTCCTTGTGAGAATCAAAATTGTAACATTCATTTCAATTAGGTTAACTCGTGATCTCATAAAAGTGTTTCCCTTATCCAAAGTAAACAGAACAATGTGTTAATGTCAACAACAGACTTTAATTGGATGGACACTGGAAATGCTTCTGCCAAAAAAAAAAAAAAAGAAGAAAAGAGAAAGGGGAAATGAATCAGTCTTGTTAAGAACTGGCACTAGTGCTTTTGAAAATTTCCAACCAGCACTAACCTTTGAGGGCCAGAAGCCTTATACTTGTGAACAGGAAGAGCATTGATCTCTTCGTCAGTCATAGAGGCTGTAGGAACATTGTCAGCATCTAGTGCACGTAGAGTTTCGTAATCTGAACATGACAAAAAAAAACCACAATGTGACAAAAACATCTCAAATAAATTTTCACCCTTTCTGAGTTAGAATATCACTCGATAAACACGAAACTATAATAAATAGATTACAAAAGAGGCGTCATGAGGAATTATTGGAATAATGATGTGTACACACACCTAAGTCATCAAATTCCCTGTCAAGAAGCGCAAGCTGGAGCCTTAGACCTTGCAATCTTCCTCTGGTGGCAAGTGCAATAGATGGCGGCATGTGAAGTCGCAGTTCAGTGTGGCCAAGAAGGCCACTGGCTGCAACTGCATGAGCTTGTGCCTGAGCTTGAAGTTGCTGGCAAGTTGCATACATCCTCAAAGTTGTCGCCATAAAGAACACACCAAGCACCAACCAGAGCTTCACAATGTAGAGGGGAAAGAAAAGGAAATGATGATTATATCACACGCTACCAGATAACATTGAATGGATGATAATAAAAATCAATTTAGTCGAGGCCAAAAACAAAAAAA